TAGTAGAAGCAAAAGCAGTAATGACAGTAGTGTTAGTACTAGTAGTAGTGGTAGTAGTAGAAGTAGTAGAAAAAGCAGTAATGACAGTATTAGTAGTAGTAGTAGTAGTAGTAGTAGTAGTAGCAGTAGCAGTAGCAGTAGTAATAGTAGTAGTAGTAGTAGAAGCAAAAGCAGTAATGACAGTAGTAGTAGTAGTACTAGTAGAAGTAGTAGCAAAAGCAGTAATGACAGTAGTAGTAGTAGTATTAGTAGTAGTAGTACTAGTAGTAGTAGTAGTAGTGGTGGTGGTAGCAGTAGTAGTAGTAGTAGTAGTAGCAAAAGCAGTAATGACAGTAGTAGTAGTAGTAGTATTAGTAGTAGTAATACTAGTAGTAGTAGTGGTGGTGGTAGCAGTAGTAGTAGTAGTAGTAGTAGTAGTAGTAGTGGTAGCAGCAGCAGCAGTAGTAGAAGCTGTAGCAGAAGCAGTATTGGCAGTATTAATAGTAGTAGTAGTAGTAGTAGTAGTAGCAGTAGCAGTAATAACAGTAGCAGTATAGTAGTAGTAGTAGTAGTAGCAGTAGCAGTAGTAGTGGTAGCAGTAGTAGAAGTAATGGTAGTAGTAGTAGTAGTAGCAGCAGTAGTAGTAGTAGTAGTAGTAGTAGCAGTAGCAGTAATAGCAGTAGCAGTATAGTAGTAGTAGTAGTAGTAGTAGTAGTAGTAGTAGTAGTAGTAGTAGTAGCAGTAGCAGTAATAGCAGTAGCAGTATAGTAGTAGTAGTAGTAGCAGTAGCAGTAGTAGTAGTAGTAGTAGTAGTAGTAGTAGTAGTAGTAGCAGTAATAGCAGTAGTAGTAGTAGTAGTAGTAGTAGTAGTAGTAGTAGTAGTAGTAAGTAGTAGTAGTAGTAGTAGTAGTAGTAGTAGTAGTAGTAGTAGTAGTAGTAGTAGTAGCAGTAGCAGTAATAGCAGTAGCAGTAGTAGTGGTAGCAGCAGTAGAAGCTGTAGCAGAAGGAGTAGTGACAGTAGTAATAGTAGTAATAGTAGTAGTAGTAGTAGTAGTAGTAGTAGCAGTAGCAGTAATAGCAGTAGCAGTAAGTAGTGGTAGCAGCAGTAGAAGCTGTAGCAGAAGGAGTAGTGACAGTAGTAGTAGTAGTAGTAGTAGTAGTAGTAGTAGTAGTAGTAGTAGCAGTAGCAGTAATAGCAGTAGCAGTAGTAGTGGTAGCAGCAGTAGAAGCTGTAGCAGAAGGAGTAGTGACAGTAGTAATAGTAGTAATAGTAGTAGTAGTAGTAGTAGTAGTAGTAGTAGTAGTAGTAGTGGTAGCAGCAGTAGAAGCTAGCAGAAGGAGTAGTGACAGTAGTAGTAGTAGTAGTAGTAGTAGTAGTAGTAGTAGTAGTAATAGCAGTAGCAGTAGTAGTGGTAGCAGCAGAAGCTGTAGCAGAAGGAGTAGTGACAGTAGTAATAGTAGTAGTAGTAGTAGTAATAGTAGTAGTAGGTGTAGTAGCAGTAGCAGCAGTAAATTTAGATTCAGCAGAATTAGATGTTGTAATGCAATGTGAAACTCAACATTAGTATCCATATCCTCAGTGACACTTACACAAAGTCATTTCAGAAGTACAACACACGTGTTATAATACTGTTAGTTCCTCAGAAAAACAGAACAGGAGTTGTGTTTAAAGGAATCCTTTATTGTCTGTATGTTTGTGATGAGGAAACATTATAATATGGACCCTTTAAGCCATTCTGACGATTTCATGCTTTGTCCATCAACCCTGGGCTCTGAATGCGAGAGCTGTTCTGATATGTTTTGGTTACAAAGTGGATTAAACAGTTAGTCTAAATCTCATCTGTCTGAAATCTAATATACACAAAATGTTATTATAAGCAGTGACATCAGCTCTTCCTCTAATAAAGGATCAAAAGAAAGGAAACGACTCCATCTAGTGGCCAAGTCTGCGGATGTAAAGTAGACGAGACAGGAAATATTACACAGCACAAAAATGTTATAAAGATGAGTTGGAATGACTTGGAACGTTTATCCTATGTTGAAAGTTTTGAATTAGTTTAAATGTATGATCTTAAAAGCATTAAAGGTGCACTGTGTAACTTTCATGGGGAGGGTTGTCTCTGTGATGATGTTATTGTTTTGTCTTGAATATTTCACAGTACACCATTAAATGTATCCTATTTGTAGTCATTCAATTAGAGTTGTTTTTATTGCTCAAAATAAGAATCTTTTGTAATTCTTAGTTTGACAGATCACGATTGAAAAACTAGTTTCCCACTTATAAATAAAAATAAATAAACGTACAGATGTTTTGCAATGTAAATAAGTCCACGTTTTACACAAAATTGACTCCTGTGAGCTTTAAGACATGTTATAATGTTGTTACCTCATCAAAAACAAACCAAGAATTGTATTTTGTTTTGTTCACACACATTTGAGTAATGTAATGCTCGAAATGCTCTGTTCCACATTGTGATGTCATGAAGTGGTAGTTTTCAAGGTAACAGCTACTTTTTACCTTTGGTTCAGTAGAGATTGGCAATTCCAGGGCTGAAATTATCCAAATGATTCTAGGGAAGGCGTATAAAGCTTAAACACACAGCTGAGCATTTCCTGTATTACCAGTTACCATATGACATCATGAGGTGGAACAGAGATTTTTCAGTTTGAGAGAAGCACTCAGTCTAAATATTATAAAGCAGGGGTGTCAAATTCAGATTCACAGAGGGCCAGAATCAAAAACTGGGGCTAAGTCATGGGCCAAACTAAAAATGTCAACATCTGCATGTTTTCTCTTCTTTCGAGATATGTAATGTTAAATCTTTTCTTATTAAAATAAATGTTTAATAATAGTTTTGCTTAAACACTGAATCCAGAATGATATAAAATAATAACAAAATTTTAAATAAGTAATGTCTCTATAGCCTATCCGTAGCTGGCGGGTCAGCTCTAACACATATTTGGTATGATCTCGTGGGCCAAATATAATTATATCACGGGCCAAATTTGGCTCCCGGGCCTGAGTTTTGACATGTCTAATCTACAACAAATTATTCTAGGGAAGGTGTATAAAGTTTAAAAAAACAGCTGACCATTTCCTGTATAACCAGTTATCACATGACATCACAAGGTGGAACAGAGTGTTTTCATTTTGAACTCAGCCTAAATATTATAGAGGATTTGTGTTTTAAACATGTGTGAATGAAAAAAAACACAAGTCCAGGTTTGTTTGTGATGAGGAAACAACATTATAACAGATCAGAAAATGTCATCATATGGGCCCTTTAAAGCTGCCCTATGAAACATTGCTGATAGATGGTATGCCGTTTGCTTGTCTCTATGGTGATTATTGCTTTGGAGACAACCAAGTGATGACACCAGGTCAGATCTGTGGAGAAGCGACGCCCACTCACAGTAAGAATGCGTGTTTTTTAAGCTATATCTGTTTAATGCCATACTGTGGAGCATTCAAAGCAAGCAATACCAGGGGATGCAGAAACAAAGCATAGTGTACTTTTGAATCATATGAAAAGTACTATCATAACTACATATGAAGTAGTAGTATAAGTATCTACAATCTCATTAAAAACATGAATAGAAGGAACAGGCCTATTGTAAAGTGCAGGCTGTTATCTGCTGGCATGAGAATAAAGCAGAGATGAAGCGATGTTTAGTCTAATGGAGCAGAGGAAATGGGCTGATGTAAAAACAGGAGCGCTCTGACCCCACGGAGCTTCAGCTGCTCGGGGCCCTTCTCTGCTTCCTGCTTCCCAATAAATCAGACGCAGCTCCCAGACTGTCTGCTCCCGTCTGCTCCCGTCTCTGTAACATGAGCAGGACGAGACAGGGTAAGCTCAGTGCAAAGCCTTGGCAACATGACGGGACATAAAATCTAAAATATATCACATTTAAAGGTGAGTCATGTAAGTTTTCTGCTTGTCTCCATGGTGATGTCAATGTCAATGTCAAGTGTATACAAGACACTTACAATATAATAGTAAATACGCACAAAATACAGTACAATATTAACGTTAAAATATAAAAGATGACCTGGTTTACACTGAATTAAAAGCCAAAGCAAAAAAAGTTGTTACTGTATTGTTTTTTTTTGCCTGGGATGTTTCACAGTATGGCATTAAACAATTATATCTTGTATTTATTCAGTTACTATTAAAAAATATCTCAAAACTATCGCAAAAACATACATTATTACCATGAACGGATCAACTTCTCCACAGATCTGACCAGTAACTTGACCTGATGATGTGACCTGCTTGTTTCCATGGAGATAGTTAGAATTAAATTCCATAGTGTAGCATAGTGTTTTGCATGAAAAAACAAAAAACATTACATGGAGTTAGGCAGGTGGCAGAAAAGTTACGCAGTGCACCTTTAATAAAAATAAATAGATATGGGCTTATAATGAGGTCTATGTAAGACTAAAATATTAGAAACTGTATTATTGTCAAAAGAAAATCTGGTCATTTAAATAATTTTCCAGTGCAAGTGTGCGATATTTTATTCATAGTGTTTTAATTAAAAAGTGCAAAGCAGTTTGTGTTTTGACATCTTTTTATTGTGGAAAATGTTACAAAAAAACTGAAAAAATGTGCGTCATTTGTTACTTTTGGATTCTTAACAATCAAAAACAGACCATATTTATTTACTTTCTAATGTTTTTTTTTTTCATTCTTGAAATGTGTGTTCATCTACACATATGAAGCAGCCCTTGTCACACCTGTTGATGTCATATTTTTCATAGTGTTGTCAAATGATTAAGAAACTCTGATAAATCACACTTTTGAAATATGACTAATCACATTGTGTGCAGATTTTAATGATGTCACTTAAACCAGGGGTCCCCAACACCCGGGCCAGGGACCAGTACCAGGTTGTTCATTACCGGGCCGCAAAAGCGCAAACCCCCCCTCCCATACACCGCATGGACAATCCGGTTGTCCCCCCCTCCCCTACACCGTTAGGACCTTCCCCCGTCCTGTACGTCGCATGGGCTGCGCCACTAAACCAGAACTAAACCAGAACTAAACCAGGACTAAACCAGGATTAAACCAGAACTAAACCAGGACTAAACCAGGACTAAACCAGGACTAAACCAGGTCTAAACCAGGTCTAAAAACAGATCTAAAAACAGGTTTAAAAACAGGTCTAAACCTAGGACTAAAACAAGATTTAGCCAGGACTTAACCATGCTGCCGGACTACGCCTTCTCCCATTCGCCCCCTCCCCAAACCCCTCTGGTCTGTGAAATATTGTCTGATATAAAACCGGTCCATCGGGCAAAAAAGGTTGGGGACCACTGACTTAAACTTCTTATTTAATGCATTTTTATGAATATTAGTGAATTATTCCACAAATCTAAATAAATGATTTTAAAGCTCAACTGTTTATAATTTAAGACTAGAAATTCTGCATTTTATAATGTATTAGTATTCCCACATGTTCCAGGTTAATGTACACAACCAAACAACAGGTGTAGTTGGGTTAAAGGCCCTTCATTGCTGCTTGCAGGTGTAACTGACTCTTATGGTGACAGATGTACAGCAGTTTAGTGAAATATTTGGCTCAGTTTACCCGTTTTAGCACTGGTTATCAGTAGGAAACACTGAAAAAATGCTTCCAAATAAATATTAAAGACCATAATAATACATTCTTGGCAACTAAGAGAACATGGATTTAGACATAATCATCTCGAGTGTCTTATACAACCTCCAAAAAATAAATTATGAAAGTTATTACATAATTGAACCTGTCTCGGCATCAAACCCACTTGTAGGAGTTCTATTGGAAATGTAAACAGGACATTAATGGCTCTTGATGTAAACAGATTTACTGCAGAGGAAACATCTTCTCCAGCTCGTCCATCCAGTCACACGGAGAGTCCTCCTCGAAGTCCCTGAGAAACACAACACATGGTACATCTGAACTACAGGACAGGATGCTGCGGGTGATTTATGCTTTTAAGAAATTAGTATTTAATCTGGAAACATTTAGGGACGGGGAAGCTGGAGTAAGTGAGACATTTTTTACCTGTGGAGTTTTTGTGTTTGAAGTTACACAAAGAAAAATGAAACAAAATATTGCACATACATTCTCTGTAAAAGTGACAAATGTATTCTGTGATATATTGTTTTAAAGGTCCTATATTACACATAATTGATTCTGGTGATCTTTAAGTCACATTATAATGTTGTTTCCTCCTCAAAATCATACCTGAAGTTGTGTTTTGTTTCATTCACTCACGTTTGATTAAACCTTTATTGTTAGTCTGTCTACATCTCCAAAACTCAAAATGTCATGAAGCAGTAGTTTTTACCTTTTGTTTAGTAGAGACTGAAAATTGCAGGTCTGAAATCATCCAAATGATTCTAGTGAAGGTGTATGGACTTCCTGTATCACCACATGACATCACAAGGTGGAACAGAGTGTTTTTTGTTTGTGTGAAAAACTCAGCCTAAATATACAGAGTTAGTGTTGAACATGTGTGAATGAAACAAAACACAACTCCAGGTCTGTTTGTGAATCAACATTATAACATACAGTAGATCAGAAAATGGAGTAGTATGGGCCTGTTAAAGAAATTGTGTATCAACTTACCTTCTAGAGATGTAACAATATCGAAATCTCTTGAACGATATTATCATGATAATGCATCTCACCGTTTATTTAGTGCGATATTTTGGAGAGGCTGACGTAATTATAGATAGGACGCTTTTTTGCTTTTAAAATAGATTTTAGTGTGAATTATTACCATCACAATCCCAAGAATTCAAGTGAAAAACATGTGACTCCATGTTGTCTTAAATGAATCATGAGATATGTAGTTCTCGATATTTATTAGCTATTGCTACTATAAAAAAATGCATTTAATGAAAGGAACTTGTAATTCGTTACACTGTGATGCCCCACGGTATTATTGTGAGGCTTTTGACAATACGATATCACAATATTTCGGTTATTGTTAAATCCCTATTACCTTCTATCGTGGTTGTTTTTTTATATTTGAAGTTATAGTGTTGATTAGGAAAGATCTTATTCTGTAGTGTAGGATGTCATAAGTCACTAAAATTGTGCAACTCTGTCTTAATTGGATTCTCCAGCTCCCCTCTGCTGCACTATAAATGGTTATTTGCTGTGTCCTATGTTACCTTAAGTGTGGAATGCTTAAATTGGATATATGCTGGGAAAATAAGCTGTATTCCTCTAGTTCTTAAATAGGCCCCGAGTGTACAATTAGTGGTCGTTGTGTTGTCTTGTACTCACGTGTCGTCGTCGTCAGAGCGTGGCTGTAGACGCTCCTCGTCCGTGTCCTCCTGCATGAGCCCGTCAGGGTGATCCCCCTGCTGGTCAGACAGGGGTCCTGTCAAGGGGTCAGCGCCTGGGCAGGTGTTGACAGGGACAGGAGTTGAGAATTCGCAAGAGCTATGAACTATTTACGTGTTACATCAGTGTAATTATGTATGACTGCATAAATAAATGAATAAAAACATTAAAAACAACGTATATAAAACAACATTAGGAACAGTTTGACGCCTACTGGTCACATTGGTCACATTTTTACTTGTACATAAGTTGTTTTTATTGCTCAAAAATTTTTTCATTCTTATTCTGACAGAACACTATTGAAAAACTAGTTTCCCTTGTACAAATAAAATTATACACGGATTAAAATAATTTCCCTTGTGGATCAATCAAGTCTGTTTAAGTCTAAGTCTAACTCTATAATGATTTCACACAAAGCAGTAAATTGCCTCTGTTACAATGTTAGTCCTACCATGTTACTGTGAAAATCAATATTTGGCTACACATACTGGTAAGCTGTGCCCTGAGACAAAAACACAGTTATACAGTGGATACAGGGGACACTATCTAATAAAAAACGCCATCTATAAAACAGACTCCTATTTAAATATGAGATCTGACCTGCTGTGTGTATGATGAATGTGCTGAAGGCTCTGTGCAGTGGGGCCTTCTCCAGCACACTGAGCAGTCTCTGTGGTGGCTCTCTACTCCATCTCCTCCTCTGCCTGTTCTCCTCTGACTCCTCGTGTTCCTCCTCTGTTCTGCTCGAGCTCACAGTGTCTGCAGACATGAGGCTCACGTTGGCCATCTTCTGCAGCACTGTGTCTGAGGGGGTCCACTGTTTCCTCTGGGGGGCTTCCACACTCTCACTCTGTGACCACTCCACGCCTGGAAAGTAAAACGTAATGAATCTGTAGGATATTTATGAAAAAATAACCAAATATAAACATAAGCCAGATGAGATATGAAATACGCATATTCAAATATTTATTCTACCGATAAAAAAACGTACTGTTGCAACAATTAAACTTTTTTATTATTATGCAAAAGAGATTTATTTTGTGTTTTGGTTCTTTAAAAAAAAAATCCAATCATAAATTAGATCCTCACTTTAGGTTGCCAGATCTCAGTTTGCAGTATACCCTTTAATGAAGCAGATTCACAATATGTTTGATTGAAAATTAGACTAGACAGTGTATAAAGTTAGTCTCAGAATGTTGTGTTCCACCTTGTCATGTCATGAAGTGGTAGTTTTCATGTGGACAGCTGCCTTTTACCATTTGTTCAGCAAAAATTGGAAATTCTATGGCTGAAATGATCCAAATTATTCTAGTAAAGGTGTACGGAGTTTAAAAACACAGTAGAGGACTTCCCGTATTACAAAGTGACATCATAAGGTGGTGCTGTTGAAAGTGAACTTAGCCTAAATATGCAGTATTTCTGTGTTAAACATGTGTGAATGAAACAAAACATAACTCCAGGTATGTTTTTGATGAAGAAACAACATTATAACACACATAGCCTAATATGGACCATTTAATATGTATTACCTTTAGTGGTGTGCAAAAATATTGAAATATCGATATATCGTATCGTTTAATGTGATGATACAGTTTCGATATCGTGGGCTGCTGTATTGATATATCACCAAGAGTATTTTTTTGGTATATTTACTACATTATTTTGTTACAGCGCTACAGTTTTGCTGCTTGTTTAGTGGAAGGAAACTCGTTTATGCGACACATTTAACATTTACACTGTTTTGAGGATTAAAATGTTTGTGGTTTAACAGAGACTTTTAGTATCACAGTCATGATTAATTTTTTATTGAACCGTATCAAATTGATTTAAAAGATATCATATCGAATCAAAAGTGCACTGTATAAAGATATGTATCGTATCGTGGCCTATGTATCGAGGTATGTATCGATGTATCTTCTTAATGATACCCAGCCCTAATTACCTTCTGATGTTGCTGAATGTATTAAGCTCTTCTCTTCCATGAGCTTGGTCACCTTCTCCCCCTCCTCTGGGTTCCATCTCTGAGCACGTCTCTCCTGTCTCTCCTGTCTCTCCTGTCTCTCCTGCCGCCCCTGCCTCCCCTGCCTCCCCTGCCGGCCCTGCCTCCCCTGTCTCTCCTGCCCCGCGCTCTCCAAAGCCTGTAACACATCAAGTCAAACACATAACATCTGAAGCAACAGCGGCTTGTCAGAGGTCGCACATCCACTCGGGGTCACCAGGGTGCCGGGGAAGTTGGGTAAGAGTCCACATTCCTCCAATGACCCCAGGACATGCTGTATGTTGTTCTGAGGAATGCTTGGCCCTGTCAGGCTATGGGAACAGACACGATGTAAGAATCCAGAAGCATTTTTTTTTTATATTGTGAAAATTCAAGTCTGTATTTAAATATATCTGCTCATAATCTCTCACAAACCTCTAGGCAAATCTCTAGTATTCACATGGACAGTCAGTGCTCACTCCAGTGTGTCCTCTAGTGACTCACATGGCTCAAGTTTGCAGTAGATAAAATGTTTTCTATTCAAATGAAGACTGCATGTACTTGTCTGATTTTAGTCACCAAGTTCTGCTTTGACAACACACTTTCAGGGGAAGAAAACAGATTTTACTCATTTAGGACAAAAATGTTGAGTATTTCTGCTTTAAATATCTTTACCTTTAAATGTACTGGTCACGCTGAACTCCATATGTTGTACTATTTCAATTACAAAAGTAGAAAAGTGTAACTGATTTAATATCAACTATTTGATATGTTTTGGACAGTGCTTCATTTAGACAAAGATCCATATCAGAATGATGCTAATTGAAATGGATTCTCAAAGTCACTGAATAACTCCAACAGACAAGGTTAAAACTGTAGCCCCAGCTTGGCACCAAAAGCCTCCTCTAATTACTCACCACATTTATACAGTGGGTAAAATGTCTTGCCCAAGGACACAGTAGCTGGAGCTACACTCAAACCTTTTGGTGTTTAGATGAATTATCTGGGTCACTTTTGCCAACTCTTCACAAAATAATGCAAAATGTTCTGTCAATCATCATATCATTGATGTCTTTCTATGACCTCTTGTATAAAGCTGTGATTTTATATTTTATTTTGACTTGTACATACACTACGGGTCACAAGTTTTAGAACACACTAATTTTTCCAGTTATTTATTCCAATTCAAGTCGTGCAAGTCCAATGAATAAGTTGAAATGGTACAAAGGTAAGTACTGAACAGCCAGAGGTTAAAAAAAAAAAAGATAAAAGATACAAAACACAAGTCCAAGCTCTGCCAAAACTACCTCAGGAAAAAAAAAGCTTGAAAACATGCAGTGTCCAGCACAGTCTCCAGACTTAAACCCAATCGAGCTGGTTTTGGGATGAACTGGACAGAAGAGTGAAAGCCAAACAAACTACAAGTGCCACACATTTATGGGAACTTCTGCAACAGATTTAGGAAGAACTTTCTGAAGAATATTCTATTGTAAAAAGAACAAGCCACAGGTGTGATCAGCTGTTGTATCTGCCAGTTAGGATATGTTTAAGGTCTATAAATTGATTGTTCTATGCTTTCATTTCAGAGTTCAATGACATAACAAACTGAATAATTTTTGGTCAAAAACTGTAAAAAGGTTCTAAAAATTTTGACCGGTAGTGTATACATTTACATAATTATGCCTTATTTGACACCAGTCTCTTGCGATCTTTTTTGCTACTTATTTAGATTTATTTATTATTATCATTTATATTTTTTCTCTTTGTTAATATAAGATATTGTGATGTGTCAGCTCCTGTGTTCAAATAATTTCCCTTGTGGATCAGTAAAGTTTTTCTAAGTCTAAGTCTAAAAGCTTTGAATTTATAGTTACTAAGCATTTTTTGTGTTGTATTAAATTATGCCTTATTCCCTTGCTATTTTTGCTATTTCTTTTGAATGTATTATTTACCATATATTATATTGTGATGTGTGAGCTACGGTGTCCAAATTATTTCCCTTGTGGATCAATAAAGTTCGTCTAAGTCTAAGGAATTAGATTTTTTGGTTAAGACAAGCCAATATGCCTCCACCACATCTAGTCTTTAAACAATAGAGAAATCTCACAAACTAATTAAAAACACCACTTTCGGATGAGTCTTGTGGTTTACCTCTGGGCTCAGGTGTTGTCGCAGTAGTTTGGAGGCTCTGTGCGAGGTGAGGATAGTGTGCAGCGAGGGCCTGTCTTTGGGGTTGGTCTTGAACATGTGCTTGAGCAGATAGTGCACTTCGTAGGGCAGGTGTCTGGGGAGGGGAGGGTACGTGCCCCGGCAAACCTTCAGAATCAGCCTCTTCCAGCTGGGCGCCTGGAACTGGATGAAAGAGAGATAATTCAGGAATAATATTTACCATGCAAGCTCAGACAGTCGGTAAGGTTTGTTTGAATAACTAAATATACAAGTGAGCTAGACAGAATTATTTGTAAAGTGAAAGTACAGTCTGAGTGGGAGTGTAAGGGGAGAGGGGAAGGGGGAATACCGGGTGTCGGAGGGTGCAGAGCTCGTACAGAACACAGCCCAAGGACCACACATCACTGAGGAAAAAAAAACTTGAGTTAGAATAACATGAAATAATTATTAAATCAAAAAAGGGGAAAGGAGGTGCTGTGAGCTTCATCATTTTGGTCTTAAAATATTCATATTACCCGCTCTACATGATCCTGGTGTTTTAATTACCCTATTCTTTTCAATTTTACACTCGCTTAGTCCACTTCTTTATTCAGTCTATGAGTACTACAGGCAAAATTCCTCCTCACTCCTTCCAACTCACTCCTTTTTTCTACAAACTATGGGATTTTGGTCAGATTTTGGTCAGGTGGAATCTACAAAACTGTCCAGTCTACACAAAAACTTGTATTATTTCTTTTAAATTAATCAAGTTGAACCCATAGAGTTACATGGGACATTTTAATTTCAAAAACTGTTTTCTCAAAATGCAATTCTCTCACTTCAGGATCAGCCCTTAAAGTAGCACCCACCTAGACTTAACTTTGCAAACTTGAATTTAACAAGATTTTAATGGACTGTAAAGAAGAATCTTTTTATATCTAATTCTAAACCTGATTTATTAGAGTTTTAACTCCAAAAAATTAGACTTAACTGTTACAAATACGGTAAAAGAAATAAATGTGGATCATTAAATCTTGTCTAAGCCTGTCTAAGCTTTCTAAACATCTTAAATAATATAGTAAGTCATCAGTAGTATTATAAGCAGAATTCTAAATCTGAATATATATATATGAAATAGTAGTTTTTTATTTTGTACACTGGTGCAAAAGTTCTAAAACACCTGAATACAAAGAAGACTAAAGAAATCATAATTGACTTTAGGTAAAACAAATGCATTCATCATCACAGTGGCCTCTGCATCAATGGAGAGGAGGTAGAGAGGGTTTCCAGTTTTAAGTTCCTGGGTGTGCAGATTAGTAAGGACCTAACCTAGAGCCTAAACACCATCAGCATTATAAAGCGTGCCCAGCAGAGGCACGGAAATCCTCTGCCAGAAGCTGCTAAACAACTTCTACTGGTGCACCATCGAAATTGTTCTGACCTGCTACACATCATGGTACGGAGCCTGAAAAGAAGGACCTGCAGCGAGTGGTGAGAACAGCTGAGCGGGTGATAGGCTTCTCTTTCCCGAACCTGGCCACCATCTACTCTTCACGTCTGCACACAGGGGCCTCCAACATTCTGCAGGACCCCATACACCCTAGGAACTGCTTCTTCATTACTCTCCCCTCAGGAAGCCTTCAAACTCTCCTCACACACTGCGCAACAGCTTATACCCACGAGCAGTGGACGTGTTCCAGGAGCTCAGGCACAGATAAAAGGCCAGAAGGGACTCAGTGCTATAATCTTTTTATTTATTTAATGTTTTTATTGGTATGGATGTGAGAATGTGTCTATATTTATTCATTTTTACTGCTTTAGATTTGTTTTGTCGAAGTTTCATTGTATTTCGTACAATCACTATAAATCTAAATCTAAATCAATCAAATGTAAAATTCAGTCTTTAATTTTCTATTGTGGGATAAAATGTAATGCAATAAATTATCCATAATTACAGCATAATAAAATTGGACTGAATGCACTGTAGTTTCTCTGTCGACTAATGTAATGGCTGCTTATATCCTTACTAAACTTGTCCCATAAAAACACTGTGTAATGTACCTCTTGTTGTTATAAGGCTGATTGTCCCAGATTTCAGGAGCAACATAGTACGGTGTGCCAACATACGTCTGAGCAAAGGCTTTGGAGCTGAAACACACAAAAACATCTTCTAACTGTGATTCTTAATCAAATCAACTGCTGCCATCTGGTTCACTTACTTGTTCAGAACACACGCTGAGCCAAAATCTCCAAGTTTGATTGTCCCATTTTCTGTTAGGAAAATATTCTGGATAAGCAGATAAGAAAGATGAGTTGCTGTGTTTCCAATACAAGCAAGCGTGTAAATAGGATTCCTGGAGATTTTGTCAATATTAATTTTATTCCAAATTGCTCAGCATTACTAGATTAATTTAGTAAGCAAATGAAGATATGAAGAGGAAAAGAAAGAGGGCTGCTTCATCAAGACTGGTACAAAATAGTTCAATACAAACACAAGGTTAAATGTGACATATTTCTTTACTTTTTCTAACTTTAAAAATATACCTTGTGATTTGCTGTTTATGGTGTCTTTATAGATATTAAAATAAATAAGCTTTAAATGTTCTATATTACACAGAATTAACTCTTGTGAGCTTTTAGCCATGTTATGATGCTTGTACCTCTTTAAAAAAACATACCTGGAGTTGTGTTTTGTTTCATTCACACATGTTTGAGTAAACCTTTATTGTTAGTCTGTTTACATCTCCAAAGCTTGAAATGCTCTGTTCCACATTGTGAGGTGATGAGTCAAATTAATAGCTACCTTTTACTTTTAGTTCCCCAAAGATGACCAATTTCAGGTCTGAAACTATTGAAATGATTGAGCTCAGCGTAAATATGCAGGGTTTGTGTGTTAAACATGTGTGAATGAAACAAAACACAACTCCAGGTCTGTTTTTGATGAGGAAACAAGATTATAACATGGTTCTGAAAAGAGCAAATATGTACTAAGAATCTCAAATAATATTCAATCTGTTCTATAAAGTGTAGTTAGTCCTCTATCAACATAAATTACCAATACAGTATACAGTATAATTTCCCTATATTTTTTCTTATTAAATGGAAAATGTCACAATACTCCTAAATTGACAATGACATGATACATTTTGAAATGGTTTGGTTTTGAAAAAAAGGATTGCAAATGTGTGGGTGAAAAAATGTTGCTTATACAGAATGCCCAAAAGAAAACCAAAGAGGAGGTAGATTTACGGCAGTGAATTAGGACAAAGAGCTGGTTTGTGTGTAAGCAGTATGAGCTTTTTCAGATAATGAAAAGTATAAAATGCAAAAACTATATGTATACCAATATGGATGACAGCTACTTTATTTTCTCATATTTCATGCTTTAAATGTTCCCTGCTGCTGAAAACATACTATTTTTTTACACTGGTTTTTAACTCAAGTTGATTTTTAATAGTTTTATCTATATTCTTAGCCTTGTTTTATTGCATTTTACTGTTATATTGCATTTTTTAAAGTAATTTGGGGCAGTACTGTCTGTTTTTAAATGTCCTAATAAATAAATAAACCTTGACCATGACCTTAAAATACATTGTGATTAAAATGTGCCATGTAATTTGAATAATAATGTGTGTTTATATTGTATGATACCACACCTTTGATTTTAGGTCCCTGTGTAAAACTCTCTTATCGTGAATATGGTTGGCACCCGCACACATTTGAGCGAACCACCGTAAAATCTGAAACACACAGAAGCAACATTTAGTGACAAAACAGGGCCATTTTAAACACAAAAAATACAGTTAGTCCATACTTACATCATCGACTGAGAACTGTTCTTTTTGCTGCTTCTGTATCCTCTGAAGCAGATCTCCACCACCACAGTACTCCATGACAATACATAGAAGGTTACCGTCTAAACAAACACAATTTCACTGTCATTTCACAACACAATAATATCCACCCCAATGGATCCTGATTAAATTTATTTGCAATACCTTCGAATGACTCCCTGAAGGCAACAATATTAGTGTGTCTCATTTTCGACAGCAGCACAGCCTCTCTCCTGCTATTCTCCGATTTGGAATTCTGTTGAGATGCAGGAACAAAATGTATTCCACATCATGAATAAGAAATTACACGTAGGAAGCATTCTACTCGGCTATTATTTCAATCTATATACAATTTTCTTGTATGATCCTTGGTTCAACCTGCTGAGGTATTGTATTAGTATGTTTTTTCAGCAGTATAAATTGTTTTTCACGTTATTTTAGCCCAAGGGATCTACACAGACAATCACACACGGCTGAGACAGACTTGTTCATGAATATAATAAAATCAGGGTGACCAGAATTTCAAAATAACAAACTGGGACATCCCCGTTTTTTGGTGGTTGTGAAACGAGTGCGTAATTAAGAAAACTTGTTATGAAAAGACCAACATGTGACCCAGTATAGCCACATTTTATTTGAGTTTTGGTCGTTTTTAAGCAGATTTTTTGTATTTTACCTTAACAAATTACAATTTATGCCTCTCTTTAATCTTGGCAGGTATCAAATTGGTTAAAAATATGGACACCAGGGACATTTCTTGAATAAAACTGGGACAAATCACTGGTTTTGGATAAATCTGCTGGGACAGGGGACACAGGACTCAAAACTGGGACGTCTGGTCACCCTAAATAAAATCACTATATTTTTTTATACCTGAGGCAACTGGATCTCCTTGAGAACATATTTCTGCTCACTGTTTTTGCACTGCACAAGTAAAGCACGACCAAATGAGCCTTCTCCAATTATTTTCAGCAGTGAATATTTCTCCATGGAACACCTGAAAATCACAGAACAAAGGCCGAGTTAAATATCAGCACAAAATAATTAAAATAAACACATTTTCCCACCTAATCTAGCTCAAAATGACACATCTAATAAGTAAGAAATAAAAAGGGGAAGCTGAAAACGAGTAACCTTTCTTTGGCGTGCGGTTTGTTTGGCCACGACTTCCGTGTTATTGTGTGACGTAGGCGGCGTGGGCTCCATGTCGTACTGACGTCATGACGCTAGATGGCAGCAAATGGTTTGTTTTTTAGTCATCGTAATTTTGCCCCGCGGTTTTTCTGGTCTCAAGCGGACGGATGATGATTAACTGCAACTAATTTGAGGTAAAAGGGTTACTCCTATAAATAAACCATGTTCCGTCAACGTTGCTTTATGTAAAATGTTTTACACTGACACTGACACTGGTTTATGTGCATTTCATTTCCTGCATTCATTTTGCACGATTTTGATAATATACAGTTTTGTAAATTTTGTGCACGTGTTAGAGCCTCCGATATGTTTTTACAGATGTTTATAGTTGTTCATCTACATTTCTACATTTTATTATAAATTATGTTAACGCGTTGAGCAAAATATGTTATGAGCGTCTTTCACAATAGAAGACACGTGGTGGTTACGTAGCGCAGTGCAAGCACTTGAGACTCTAACAAGAGCCCGGATAGCTCAGTCGGTAGAGCATCAGACTTTTAATCTGAGGGTCCAGGGTTCAAGTCCCTGTTCGGGCGGCTCTAGTTTTTAAACTTTCCTAAGTGGCATCAAGTGAGCTTAAACTATAGACCGTATGGCTTCAACTAAAAAAAACACTTCATACAACAATACAACGAAGAATTACTTGCTATACATTAGGTTGTGTTCTGTTCCTTCATGAAACTTCTTAAAGGTGCACTTTAAGGTGGCTTAATTTAGTATCTTCCGCTGTTAAACATTAAATCAATCTGTTTAGGATTTATTCACTTAAATATTACAGAAAGTATATGCCATCTCTCCACAGATCTGACCTGTAACTTCTAAATTAAATGCCCCTTTGTGGAACAATGCAAAAATAAAATAAAAAATCAATGACATCTCCATTAAGATGAGCACCAGAAATGTTACATACTGCACCTTTAATATTGCCAGACTGGTGCCACCTAGTGCCTCGGCTCAATTTCATTTCTCTCCAGCAACTAGATCAGGAATCAAAATACAATAGATGGTTCCCAAGAACCCTGGAAGTGCAAGTTCGGGCACCAGCCAATTAGCGAAGAGTGATATTATCAGTGCTGTCAATGATTCCTGAGATCGAGGATTTAAAGCCGGAACAAAGAGAATGTTTTGTGAATTTTATCAAGGGGAAAGACGTTATTGTCCTTCTTCCTACGGGATTTGGGAAAAGCTTAATATACCATTTAGCCCCGTTAGCGGTGCATTACATATGTCACGACCAAATAGCAGTGGTTGGTTAAATGAAAAAAGTACCCGCCTACTGTCGAGCAAACGAAATCTAAGGCTGCGAGGTCAGACGGTTTGTACGAAGTGAAACAAAGTAAAACCGGCTGATGAATCAGGCTACTTTTAATATGGATTGTATGGCAGAAAGCAGGAATGTGATAATGCATTATTTTTATATTACTATTACCATGATAATTATGCTTGGAAATAAACAAAAAACAATGTTTGCTTACAACACGTACACACAGTAGCCTCTATTAATTGCTTAGCTGATCAAACTTATCCTGAATATAAAGTATAGGGAGGAGTCTGCGCTGGTGTCAATAAAAAATGCAGCTGATATCTACTGTATGTAGTCTCTGCAGAGTAGGAAATCACAAATATCGCGAGAATCCATCTAGCTGTGCAAGGTTATAACAACATTAGACAAAGTAAACTCTCCACTCTCCAATAATATGCCACTTCAGTAAATATAAATATAGTCGTTTGAGTGGCCATACCAGTTTGTCAAAGCCTGATCCCGTCAGATCTCAGAAGCTCATCAAGGGCAGACCTGGACAGTACTTGGATGAGAGACCACTGGGAAAATCAGGTGCTGTTGTTGTGTCCTTAGGCAAGACACATCTCCCACATTGCGTAGTATGAAAGTGGTGTGTGTGTGAGTGTTGGTGGTGATTGGATGGGCCAATGGCGCAGATAGGCAGCCCAAGGGCAGCTGTGGCTACAATAGCAGCTTACCACCATCGTGTATAGAGTGAATGAATAATGAACTGTAAAACTGTCTTTGTCCAGGGTTCAAGTTCCTGTTTGGGTGAAAGGCCATTATTTAAGGGAGCAGACTGAGCAGTTCTGTAGATCACAGTGGTGTTTTGCAGTCATCCATCATAGATAATGTATATAATAAGACTATATGTAAGAAGTCTGCCCCCCATGCACAAGGATATGACCATTTTTATTTGTCCCATCTGAAAACTGAACTTTTTAAATATAATTAATTATATTACAACATTGAAGACTGTTACTTAATTGGATAAGTCTCTGTGGAAAAGTTACAAAGCTTTTTGTTTTTCTTCAGGTCTCTTCCTAGTGATCGAAGTCCTTTGGTCTCTGTTTGTTCCTCCTACTACTGTGCTGCTGTTGCGCCAATGGTCTGTCAGAGCCCGGATAGCTCAGTCGGTAGAGCATCAGACTTTTAATCTGAGGGTCCAGGGTTCAAGTCCCTGTTCGGGCGGCTGAAGTTTTAAATAAGACACAGTTAAATTAAAGTTAAGTGCAAGTCATACTGTATTATTAACATAACAGTAGATTTAATGGAATCAATGAAAAAGGTTTAGTCTGACTGGCTTATCTGTACTCTATGGATAGTATAGAATTACACTAGACCGCTAGAAGGTTTCAGACCCAAGGAATGGGAAATAAAACTGTCAAAATTTACAAGGATAAAATTGTATTATGAGGTAGTGTACACATATTCAACATGTACATGCTTATACTTTTCATTGGTCTTTAAGTGTCTTTTAAAACTGATGTGGTCCTCCACATTTTAAAACTGTGGTGATCTGTTTCAACTGCTGTGGTTCATCTTTATATTCCAGATCACTTGAAATTTGAGGTGAAGTGTTTGCAAATTTTTGGAATCAATTTGAATCAATTATAGACAAAATGCTTCATAACTTTCTACTTCAGGTCACGTGATGTTAGAAGAAGTGTCTCAAAAGCTGGTTGGTTCTGTATGAGATAGCAGCAACAGCCTCTTCTCCTGGTTCATGGTCCTGTGCGCTCATGTTCACACAGCAAGAACGCCATTCTCTCTGAGGGCGCTTTTACATCACTAGTTTGATTATTTGGTCTGCGCCAGGCAATAAAATTCTTATTAACCAGAATACAAACTCCAGTGTGTTCCACTTTCACACCTGCAAACAAACCAAAATTGGTCTGATTGACGTATATCCAAGGCTCCTGCCCACAGTGGGTACAACTGCGCATGGCTCAGGGATGCTGAGGCTCTCCTGCACGCCAGACCTCTCGGAAGCGAGGCTGAGATACACCATCTCACCCAGTGACCTTCCCACGGAGCCCCTCCTACAGACGAAGCGGGCCGATCCCTATCCCCCCAAGCGGCAGGGGGCCTTCAACAGACACTGTTTCTTGAACCCTTCCTAAGAGCCTTCTTGGTCCAGGGAGCTCGGACTCACAAACCTACAGACACTCAGTTCGGAGGTCCGAGCCTGTCCTCCCATGATGCATTTGAAATATTTTGTTTAGGCCTACTGTCTATGGTTTGGACCCAAGTTTGCGTTCTCAACAGAAGGACCGCACCAGAGCTTGTCATTTGGTGCGGAGTCACGCGGACCAAGACCATCTCCTTTTTTGAGGTCTCAGTCTACTTGATTTAGTGTTCTAGTTGTTAGGTGATCTGAGTGCAACTGATGTTTTCACACCAGCGAAAACGAACCAAATTAAGAGCTTTTGGTTTGTATGGCAAGTAGGGATGGGCATGATTAATCAATAATTGATCATTAAGAATTTCATCGATTACGTTAATTTTAATCGACAAACCGAATGTAGGTTGCTGTGCGTAGCGTGACCAAACTGGGGTCCGTACATGTAGCTTTCTGCACTCAGAAGGAGCGAGCAAACACAAACATTCGGTCAGTCTGCAACGTACCAAAGCACAAATGTGTATTTAACGATGATTTGTACAAGAAATTCCACGCTTTCCGTTGCGTTTGGGACAAGTGTGAGTCCATGTGCACAGTGTACAAAGCAGCACATATGTTTCGGTGTCCAGTGGAAAAAAGTTTTACCAGGTGAGAGAAGCGCAATGTCGATGACGAGTCCCCACCTCCCACTCCCCGTACGGTGTCCTGGTTTTGACAAACGCAAATATGATCACACTAACCTGTATTCCACTGAATCATGTCTTTTAATCCAACAGAAATTGACCGCATCAGCGCACAAGAGCTGTAGTTTTATCTTCGCTGAGTTTATGCAAATTAGCGATGCGGTTTTAAGTTTCGTTTCTGTGAGAGTTGCGCAAAACTGAATTAAACACATTATAATGTCAAACGGTTTGATGTGGCTCTAGAGTCGTTACGGTTTATATGTCGTAAAGTTGAATTTATTTATGCAGATTAGTAGTGCAGATAGTAATAATAACGTTGATCATTTTAATATAAAAACGTTACTGATTAATCGATAATCGATCGTTAATTCTTCCGACGATCGATTAAGAAAATTTCATCGAATGCCCATCCCTAATGGCAAGTTTGGTGTGCACTGGTGTCGGTGTGAAAGCACCCTAAGGCTCACTTTTAAATCAATTATAAAATGCAAACGTAAGTTTTTATTCCAGATAAAGTGATGTAGTGCGATGTCTTAAAACTGGTTGGTTATGCATGAGGTAGCACCAAGATCCCCTATGGCCTCATTTTCACATAGCAAGAGCGCCATGAATCTTTGTCTCTGAGGCTCACTTTTAAAGGCAATCTCCTTTGTTTCTTTGTTAATTTTTGGAATCAGTTTAAATCAAGTATAGACAAAATGCAGCTGTAACTGAACTAGCTCACAGTTGCTCTGGTGTGAGGGCTGGATGTAGAGTGCTGACTGAAGTGTCTGTGCTGGTAATGAAGCATTTATCATTCAACCGCGATGACAGAGTTTGTTAGTTTGCATCGGGAAGTGACAGCTGATAGACGCCCAGCAG